GCCCCATGATGCTGGATGTAATTACCAGCGAAACGTCACCGGAGCACTCAAGCTGTAAATGTTGTGGATTCACTCTTCAACGCACCGGTATGGGGCTAAAGCGGTGAACTAATTTTGTCTTTCGTCAACGTGACACTTTATTTTTTGCTGATTGGCCGTGTCGGGTGGTGGAGGGTTACGACACATTTATAAATAACGCGATCTAACCCAAAAACACCTTTATTATGAACGTGAGAGAGCTTTCGATTTAAAGCTTTCGTGACTGCAAGGATTCAGCTTCTTTGGTTCTTTCGGTAAAGTCACCACCTCGTGGAATGAGAATAAAATAATACATTTATAAAATAAAAATAACACAATAAAAATTCTCACGACGTTTCGGCCACAACACAAGGTGGCCTTCTTGTGTTGTGGCCGAAACGTCGTGAGAATTTTTATTGTGTTATTTTATTTTTATTAAATTATTATTTTATTCTCATTCCACGTGGTGGTGACTTTACCGAAAGAACCAAAGAAGGTGAGAGACCTTGGCCAATGACAGCCAACGTCAGTTGACCGTGGACAATTAGACCACAGCCGAAACATAACATGTAAAAGCAAAAAAAATAATTTTAATCATATAATATATTATTGCCATCAGTATAACATAAGTATAGCAAGTTTTTCAGTCGATACCGCATTGGGAAGCGGGTTATAATTGAGTCACAAGATTTGAGGATACAACAACAACAGACCGAAAGACTGAGCGAGTTTATAGAAAGCGTGTAAAAATGTAGTGGGTTCCAATTAGGTGCACGCACACACACACACACAGCTTGGAGGCAACACCATTTATTAGAACGGTAAGTAATAAAACGCCGTACGTAAGGTGGTGACCACCTTCCTCACCTCACTAACACTCTGGGACACTACACAGCGTAACCCAGGCAGGCAACGGGCTGCCTGGTCCCAGACGACGACCCGGGACATGTGGATCGATGATGTCGTCTTTGGATCAATGAACAGCCCCGCTCTGCATTCACACCCCGCTAATTACCGCTCTGGCGTGGTCGGCTCCGCCCAGGCCAAGCCTCCCTTCCCCCACCTCTGGGAAGGCTCCGCCCAGGCCACGCCTCCCTTTCCCCCCCACCTCTGGGAAGGCTCCGCCCAGGCCAAGCCTCCCTTCCCCCACCTCTGGGAAGGCTCCGCCCAGGCCACGCCTCCCTTTCCCCCCCACCTCTGGGAAGGCTCCGCCCAGGCCACGCCTCCCTTCCCCCACCTCTGGGAAGGCTCCGCCCAGGCCACGCCTCCCTTCCCCCCCCACCTCTGGGAAAGCTCCGCCCAGGCCACGCCTCCCTTCCCCCACATCTGGGAAGGCTCCGCCCAGGCCACGCCTCCCTTTCCCCCCCACCTCTGGGAAGGCTCCGCCCAGGCCACGCCTCCCTTCCCCCACCTCTGGGAAGGCTCCGCCCAGGCCACGCCTCCCTTCCCCCCCCCACCTCTGGGAAAGCTCCGCCCAGGCCACGCCTCCCTTCCCCCACATCTGGGAAGGCTCCGCCCAGGCCACGCCTCCCTTTCCCCCCCACCTCTGGGAAGGCTCCGCCCAGGCCACGCCTCCCTTCCCCCACCTCTGGGAAGGCTCCGCCCAGGCCACGCCTCCCTTCCCCCCCCACCTCTGGGAAAGCTCCGCCCAGGCCACGCCTCCCTTCCCCCCCCCCCACCTCTGGGAAGGCTCCGCCCAGGCCACGCCTCCCTTTCCCCCACCTCTGGGAAGGCTCCGCCCAGGCCACGCCTCCCTTCCCCCCACCTCTGGGAAGGCCCCGCCCAGGCCACGCCTCCCTTCCCCCCACCTGGGAAGGTCCCGCCCAGGCCACGCCTCCCTTCCCCCCACCTCTGGGAAGGCCCCGCCCAGGCCACGCCTCCCTTCCCTCCACCTCTGAGAAGGCTCCGCCCAGGCCACGCCTCCCTTCCCCCCCCACCTCTGGGAAGGCTCCGCCCAGGCCACGCCTCCCTTCCCCCCCCCTGGGAAGGTCCCGCCCAGGCCACACCTCCCTTCCCCCCCACCTCTGGGAAGGCTCCGCCCAGGCCACGCCTCCCTTCCCCCCACCTGGGAAGGTCCCGCCCAGGCCACACCTCCCTTCCCCCCCACCTCTGGGAAGGCTCCGCCCAGGCCACGCCTCCCTTCCCCCCACCTCTGGGAAGGTCCCGCCCAGGCCACGCCTCCCTTCCCCCCACCTCTGGGAAGGCTCCGCCCAGGCCACGCCTGCCTCCCCCCCACCTCTGAGAAGGCCCCGCCCAGACCACGCCCCCTTCCCCCCACCTCTGGGAAGGCTCCGCCCAGGCCACGCCTCCCTCCCCCCCACCTCTGAGAAGGCCCCGCCCAGACCACGCCTCCCTTTCCCCCACCTGGGAAGGCTCCACCTAGGCCACGCCTCCCTTCCCCCCCCACCTCTGGGAAGGCTCCGCCCAGGCCACGCCTCCCTTCCCCCCACCTGGGAAGGTCCCGCCCAGGCCACGCCTCCCTTCCCCCCACCTCTGGGAAGGTCCCGCCCAGGCCACACCTCCCTTCCCCCCACCTCTGGGAAGGTCCCGCCCAGGCCACGCCTCCCTTCCCCCCACCTCTGGGAAGGCCCCGCCCAGGCCACGCCTCCCTTCCCACCACCTCTGGGAAGGCTCCGCCCAGGCCACGCCTCCCTTCCCACCACCTCTGGGAAGGCTCCGCCCAGGCCACGCCTGCCTCCCCCCCACCTCTGAGAAGGCCCCGCCCAGACCACGCCCCCTTCCCCCCACCTCTGGGAAGGCTCCGCCCAGGCCACGCCTCCCTTTCCCCCACCTCTGGGAAGGCTCCGCCCAGGCCACGCCTCCCTTCCCCCCACCTCTGGGAAGGCTCCGCCCAGGCCACGCCTCCCTACCCCCCCCCTGGGAAGGTCCCGCCCAGGCCACGCCTCCCTTCCCCCCACCTCTGGGAAGGCCCAGCCCAGGCCACGCCTCCCTACCCCCCACCTGGGAAGGTCCCGCCCAGGCCACGCCTCCCTTCCCCCCACCTCTGGGAAGGTCCCGCCCAGGCCACACCTCCCTTCCCCCCACCTCTGGGAAGGTACCGCCCAGGCCACGCCTCCCTTCCCCCCCACCTCTGGGAAGGCTCCGCCCAGGCCACGCCTCCCTCCCCCACCTCTGAGAAGGCCCCGCCCAGACCACACCCCCCTTCCCCCCACCTCTGGGAAGGCTCCGCCCAGGCCACGCCTCCTTTTCCCCCACCTCTGGGAAGGCTCCGCCCAGGCCACGCCTCCCTTCCCCCACCTCTGGGAAGGCTCCGCCTAGGCCACGCCTCCCTTCCCCCCTACCTCTGGGAAGGCTCCACCCAGGCCACGCCTCCCTTCCCCCCCATCTCTGGGAAGGCTCCGCCCAGGCCACGCCTCCCTTCCCCCCCCCCCACCTCTGGGAAGGTCCCGCCCAGGCCACGCCTCCCTTCCCCCCCAACTCTGGGAAGGCTCCGCTCAGGCCACGCCTCCCTTCCCTCACCTCTGGGAAGGCTCCGCCCAGGCCACGCCCCCCTTCCCCCCCCACCTCTGGGAAGGCTCCGCCCAGGCCACGCCTCCCTTCCCCCCCAACTGGAAAGGCTCCGCCCAGGCCACGCCTCCCTTCCCCCCACCTCTGGGAAGGCTCCGCCCAGGCCACGCCTCCCTTCCCCCCACCCCTCGGAAGGCTCCGCCTAGGCCACGCCTCCCTTCCCCCCCACCTCTGGGAAGGCTCCGCCCAGGCCACGCCTCCCTTCGCCCCCCCCACCTCTGGGAAGGCTCCGCCCAGGCCACGCCTCCCTTCCCCCCCAACTGGAAAGGCTCCGGCCAGGCCACGCCTCCCTTCCCCCCACCTCTGGGAAGGCTCCGCCCAGGCCACCCCTCCCTTCCCCCCCCCACCTCTGGGAAGGCTACGCCCAGGCCACGCCTCCCTTCCCCCCACCTCTGGGAAGGCTCCGCCCAGGCCACGCCTCCCTTCCCCCCTACCTCTGGGAAGGCTCCGCCCAGGCCACGCCTCCCTTGGGGCCCCCAGTCCTCGTACGGGCCTATATAGTAGTGACGTCTTTACGTCACTACAAAAACAACAACAACAGACAGACAGTGAGTGTAAAAACAACAACAACAACAACAACAGACAGACAGTGAGTGTAAAAACAACAACAACAACACACAGTGAGCTTATAGAAAGAGTGTAAAAACAAAAACAACAACAGACAGTGAGTTTATATAAAGCGTGTAAATAATAAAAATAAGAGTTTTTCATGGTTCTTTCTGTAAAGTCACGTGATGTATTTTATTGTGTATATTAGTGTAGTGTATAGTGTAGTGTATAGTAGTGTAGTGTGTAGTAGTGTATAGTGTAGTGTATAGTGTATATTAGTGTAGTGTATAGTAGTGTATAGTGTAGTGTATATTAGTGTAGTGTATAGTAGTGTAGTGTATAGTGTAGTGTATAGTGTAGTGTATATTAGTGTAGTGTATAGTAGTGTAGTGTATAGTAGTGTAGTGTATAGTGTAATGTATATTAGTGTAGTGTATAGTAGTGTAGTGTATAGTGTAGTGTATAGTAGTGTAGTGTATAGTGGTGTAGTGTATAGTGTAGTGTATAGTGTAGTGTATAATAGTGTAGTGTATAGTAGTGTATAGCAGTGTAGTGTATAGTAGTGTAGTGTATAGTAGTGTAGTGTATAGTAGTGTAATGTACAGTAGTATAGTGTAGTTTATAGTTGTGTAGTGTATAGTAGTGCAGTGTATAGTGTAGTTTATCGAGACTTTGTAGGATAAACGTTAAAATGTATAAGGGCACGGGGGTGATCGATAAGGTCCGAGTTGGTCTGTAATAAGGTAAGGCACTGATAAGGGATTCACAGGTCTGATATTCGCGCCTGATAATTGATTATAGTGTAGTGTATAGTTTTCACACCTGATGATGATTGCTTGTGTTGCAGTCGAAACGTCGTTAGAATTTTATTGTTTTATATTTTTATTATTTTATTGTTTCCCTTCTACGTGACTTTTCCGAAAGAACCAAGAATATGAACCAAGAATATGATTATAATCAATCAATAATATAGATGTTTTATTTCCCAGTTCACATAAGCAGCCCCCCAAATTTCCCAATGCAGATGAGCATCCGGATCGCTTCCCGCCGGACTCCCCGCGCGAGTTCTGGTTGGCTCGGTCGTTTGGGCGGGAAATCCAAATCGGGCCAATCGCGACGCAGCGTTGGCGTCACGTGACCGGTACCAACAGCCGGCTCCTCCCCCCCCCCACTCGCAAGCGGCTGGCGGTGATTGAAAGCCGCGAGGAGTTTGAGGTAAATGATAAACTGAAATCGTTTAAAATATATATTTTTTATATTTAAACAAAAAACTTTACCTCAAAGCGTCAAGGCGGCACTCGAGACCAACCGAATGCGCCGTATTTTTTTCCAACTCCAAGAAGAAGAAGAGGAAAAAACCCCGAGTGAGGTGAGGCGAGTCAGTGTGTACATCTGTGTATACGAATAACCATCTGTGTATATGAATAACACGTCTGTGTATACGTATTAATGTGTGTACGTCTGTGTGAGGGGAGCGGTAGTGTAACGGTTAGCGCTACGAACCCGGCCCACCGGGTTCGATTCCCGCTCACGGCAATCAGAACCGGTCCTTGGGCCTCCCCTTAGGTCGACTCAGCCTCAAATGAGTACCTGGTGCGTAGTTAAACATCGTGGGGAGAGACAAAGGCGGCCGTGCGTGGTGCTGGCCACCCACCCCCACAGATACAACAAGACAAAGGTCCCCCGTGTAGCCTCTAACAGGCTGTAGGGGCAAGTGCTGTTAGTAGCGAGTAGCAGCAGCACCTGTGAAGGTAGACACAGACAAAGGTCCCCCGTGTAGCCTCTAACAGACTGCTGGGGCAAGTGCTGTTAGTAGCGAGTAGCAGCAGCACCTGTGAAGGTAGACACAAAGATCCCCCGTGTAGCCTCTAACAGACTGTAGGGGCAAGTGCTGTTAGTAGCGAGTAGCAGCAGCACCTATGAAGGTAGACACAGACAAAGATCCCCCGTGTAGCCTCTAACAGACTGTAGGGACAAGTGCTGTTAGTAGCGAGTAGCAGCAGCACCTGTGAAGGTAGACACAGACAAAGATCCCCCGTGTAGCCTCTACAGACTGTAGGGGCAAGTGCTGTTAGTAGCGAGTAGCAGCACCACCTATGAAGGTAGACACAGACAAAGATCCCCCGTGTAGCCTCTAACAGACTGCAGGGGCAAGTGCTGTTAGTAGCGAATAGCAGCAGCACCTGTGAAGGTAGACACAGACAAAGATCCCCGTGTAGCCTCTAACAGACTGTAGGGGCAAGTGCTGTTAGTAGCGAGTAGCAGCGCCACCTATGAAGGCCGACACAGACAAAGGTCCCCCGTGTAGCCTCTAACAGACTGTAGGGGCAAGTGCTGTTAGTAGCGAATAGCAGCAGCACCTGTGAAGGTAGACACAGACAAAGGTCCCCCGTGTAGCCTCTACAGACTGCTGGGGCAAGTGCTGTTAGCGAGTAGCAGCAGCTATGAAGGTAGACACAGACAAAGATCCCCCGTGTAGCCTCTAACAGACTGCAGGGGCAAGTGCTGTTAGCGAGTAGCAGCAGCACCTGTGAAGGTAGACACAGACAAAGATCCCCCGTGTAGCCTCTAACAGGCTGTAGGGGCAAGTGCTGTTAGTAGCGAGTAGCAGCAGCACCTGTGAAGGTAGACACAGACAAAGATCCCCCGTGTAGCCTCTAACAGACTGTAGGGGCAAGTGCTGTTAGTAGCGAGTAGCAGCGCCACCTATGAAGGTAGACACAGACAAAGATCCCCCGTGTAGCCTCAACAGACTCTAGGGGCAAGTGCTGTTAGTAGCGAGTAGCAGCAGCACCTATGAAGGTAGACACAGACAAAGATCCCCCGTGTAGCCTCTACAGACTGTAGGGACAAGTGCTGTTAGTAGCGAGTAGCAGCAGCACCTGTGAAGGTAGACACAGACAAAGATCCCCCGTATAGCCTCTAACAGACTGTAGGGGCAAGTGCTGTTGGTAGTGAGTAGCAGCGCCACCTATGAAGGCCGACACTAGCACACGAGAGGGGGTGGGTTAATACCTCCAGTAGGCTTGTTAAAATAACAAACTATCGTTTATTTTTTTTATTTAAAGCTTTCGTGACTGCAGGGATTCATATTCTTGGTTCTTTCGGTAAAGTCACGTAGAAGGGAAACAATAAAATAATAAAAATATAAAACAATACAATTCTCACGACGTTTCTTGCTGTGGTTTTCACACCTGATGATGATTTGCTTGTGTTGCAATCGAAACGTCGTGAGAATTTTATTGTTTTATATTTTTATTATTTTATTGTTTCCCTTCTACGTGACTTTACCGAAATAACCAAGAATAACAAACTATAGTTTAGTTAACGTTTTTTTTAATTTTTAAGTGATTTATTTACCCTTCCTACACTTTGCACTCCCATCGCGTTTGTTTATTGCGTTTGTTGTTGTAACGTTTCGGATCCGTGCCCTCTACGTGATAAAAAAAAAATGCCTTAGTAGCTAATGGGCTTCTTCCTGCAGTATAAATAAAGATTCCGATTCTGCAATCCTAACCGATGCTATGATCACTGTTACATTGCATCCATGGCTTTATTTTGGTGATTTCGAAAACGTTTTTTTGGGGGGTTTGGCCATGTTTGTTGTAGCACGGAGTTCAACTCACGGCTTTAATCGAAAGTTGTCTTGTGGTTGTTGTTTGACTTGCATCCCACTGAGATTTTTGGCACACAGCGTTTTGGTGCTTTTTCAGGAATATTTTAGCTGGTTTTTCTCCCCCCCCCCCCCCTGGATTTTCTGTTTTGCACACAGTCACACACAGTCACTTTAAGATTTCGATTTAAAGCTTTCGTGACTGCAATGATTCATCTTCTTTGGTTCTTTCGGTAAAGTCACGTAGAATGAGAATAAAAATAATAAATTGATAAATCAATTTGATAAATCAAATCAATTTGATAAATCAATTTATTATTTTATTCTCATTCTACGTGACTTTACCGAAAGAACCAAAGAAGATGAATCACTTTAAGATGTCTTGTTGCGCTTGCACCCGATTCAAGAGCCGAATGGCTCACAGGGGCTACGCCAAATAATTGAAACCGATGCGCCCGCCGCTACCCCACACGCGCGCAGCTGTTTGTGTTTCAGTTCTCATTTGCGTTTATTAGGAGGTATAACCCCGTGGGCCATGCGGCTCTTGATGCGGGTGCATCCGCAGCAGATTAAAAACAAGAACGAGAAACATCTTAAGGTGGCTACGCGCAACGGAGAAATCCTGGGGAAATTAAGCGGGCGAAGTCTTCCAGAGACAAAGCACCGCATTTCAACGCTGTGTGCAAAAATCCCAGCGGGATGCGTGTCGAACCGTAACAACCATGAGACATATGCTTAGTTTTTTCGGTAAAGTCACCACGTTGAAGAGAAACAACAAAATAATAAAATATATATAACAATAAAAAATTCTCACGACGTTTCGACCATAACTCAAACGGTCGTCTTCAGGTGTGTTTATGCGAACCAACACACCTGAAGATGACCGTTTGAGTTATGGTCGAAACGTCGTGAGATTTTTTTATTGTTTTATATATATTTTATTATTTTGTTGTTTCTCTTCAACGTGACTTTACCGAAAAAACTAAGATTATTAATTACTGCAGTCACGAAAGCTTTAAATCAAAACCATGAGACAATTTAGATTAAAGTTATCAGGCTAACTCTGTACTACTACAGCAACAAACGTTGCTAAACCAAAACGTAAAAGCGCAGCCCCTGCAAGTGCACGCTCATTGGCAGTGGAAGGGGGTCTCCCACTTTGTAGAGAGAGAGTTCATCAACTAAAGAGGGTATTCAGGTCCATCCACACAATCACTTAGCCCGCCACTAACTCACCCACCCGCTTATCCCACCCTCTTTCACCCAAATTACTCACCACTCACTCACCCGCCCAATAACCTAACCCATACGTGTCCACTCACTCACCCACTCATCAACCCACCCATTTTCTCACTGAGCTGCTCACCCACTCACCAACCTACCCACCCATTTACTCACTGAACTGCTCACTCACCCACTCACCAACCAACCCACTCGCCCACCCTCCCCTACACCTCCCACCCATTTACTCACCTAGCTGCTCACCCACTCATCCCCCTCCCGCCACAGACCCAGCTACCCACCACCATCGCCACGGAAACCACTCTCCCAAGCCAGTCCTTCCATTGGCTGACGGGGTTTCCCAAGGCGGCTCCTGATTGGTCAGTCGAGCCCGGATGGCGGTGTCTTCCGTGGGGGGGCAGCCACCCCCGCTGGGCTCCCACAATTCCCCGGAGCAAGCGGCAGCGGTGGTGCATTTTGGGAGTCGGCTGATGGAGTCACGTGGAGAGGAGGCCATGGGACTGGATCGACGTGCATCGATGGACTCGCCTGAATGCTCGCCTACTCGCTCGCCAACATTTTCACCTGGAGACTCGCCCACACGTGCAGCTCACGATGAAGCTGAAGGATTGAATCGTCACTCATCTACACGTTCACCTCTCCACTCACTTCACGATGAACATGAACAATTGAATGAACGCTCACCCACCTACTCGCCTGAATACTCGCCTACACACTCGCTCGACTGTTCAACTCCCCACTTGCCTAAACGCTCACTTACCCACTCGTCTCACAATGAAGCTGGAGGTTTGAACGAGCGGTCACCCGAACATTGGCATGCTAGTTCACCTGAACCACGTAGTGAACACTCGTGTACGCACTCACCCGCACACTCGCTTGCACCACGCTCACCCGCACACGACAGTGACCCCTCGCCGGAGCGTCTGCGCGCTCTCTCGCACACAGAGGACTCCCACTCCCCGGGTCTCTCTCCCCAGAGACTCTTCGCTCTCCCGGACTCCCCCTCGTCTCCCCTCTGCTTTCCATCTCTCTCTGTCTCCAGTCTCTGTTGCGGTCCCCGTGTCTCCCCTGGTCTTCCTGTGTCTCCCTGTTCTCTCCTTGTGTCTCCTCTTCCCGGTGTCTCCCCTTTTGTCTCTTCACCCGCTATCCCCTTAACTCCCCGTATCTCCTCTGGTCACTCTCTGTCTCCCTGTCTCTCTCCAACCTCCCATGTTTCCCCCGACCTCTCTATGTCTCGCTGCGTCTCTCCGGCCTCGCAAACCTCCCCTAATCTCGCTGCGTCTCGCAGTCTCTCCCCCGGTGTCCCAGCGTCTCCCTCGGTCCCCCCACGTGTCGCCGCGTCTCCCCGCGTCTCCCGCGTCTCGAGTCGCCGCCACCACCAGCAGCAGCAGCAGCAGCAGCCGCCTCCCGCCTCTGCGGCGGCCATGCTGAGCGGCGGGCTGCACCGCATGCCGGCGATTGTGAACCTCCTGCTCGTCCTCCTGAAGCGGCGCGGGGAGGAGATGGGGCCGTGGGCAGCTGCCCTGAGGTGAGTCGGTTTAAACACGTAAGAAGGCGTCCGTCCGCGGCCAATATTATCCGTAACACAATCTCTTTTTTTGGGGTCAGATCGCGTAAAGATAAATGTGTCGTCAAAGCCGCCACCACCCGACAGCCAACTGGTAAAGGTTTTGTCACGTAAACAGAACGTGAACCAATTCGTTACTAGTACAGCAAACACCGGTGTGTTGGAGAGTAAAACCACAGCGTTTACAAATGTTGTGGTGTGTTGGAGAGTAAAACCACAACGTTTACAAATGTTGTGGATTTACTCCCCAACACTCCCAACACACCGGTGTGCTGTACCAGTATACTAAACTATACACTACACTATACACTAGTGCTGTACTAGTATACTACACTATACACTAGTGCTGTACTAGTATACTACACTATACACTACACTATACACTAGTGCTGTACTAGTATACTACACTATACACTACACTATACACTAGTGCTGTACCAGTATACTAAACTATACACTACACTATACACTAGTGCTGTACCAGTATACATCACTATACACTAGTGCTGTACCAGTATACTACACTATACACTACACTATACACTAGTGCTGTACCAGTATACTACACTATACACTAGTGCTGTACTAGTATACTACACTATACACTACACTATACACTAGTGCTGTACTAGTATACTACACTATACACTACACTATACACTAGTGCTGTACTAGCATACTACACTATACACTAGTGCTGTACTAGTATACTACACTATACACTACACTATACACTAGTGCTGTACCAGTATACTACACTATACACTAGTGCTGTACCAGTATACTACACTAGACACTACACTATACACTAGTGCTGTACCAGTATACTACACTATACACTAGTGCTGTACCAGTATACTAAACTATACACTACACTATGCACTAGTGCTGTACCAGTATACTACACTATACACTACACTATACACTAGTGCTGTACTAGTATACTACACTATACACTACGCTATACACTAGTGCTGTACCAGTATACTACACTATACACTGCACTATATACTAGTGCTGTACCAGTATACTACACTATACACTAGTGCTGTACTAGTACACGCTATACACTAGGGCTGTACTAGTATACTACACTATACACTACACTATACACTAGTGCTGTACTAGTATACTACACTATACACTACACTATACACGAGTGCTATACGAGTATACTACACTATACACTAGTGCTGTACTAGTATACTACGCTATACACTACACTATACACTAGTGCTGTACTAGTATACTACACTATACACTACACTATACACTAGTGCTGTACTAGTAACTAACTGGCACGTTCTGTTTACGTGAGAAACCTTACTATCTTGGCTGTGTCGGGTGGTCGCGAGTTAAACGACACATTTTTATTGATGCGATCTAACACAAAAAAACTGTATTATGCCCTGAGGTAGACACTGAGTGACTTATTTCCCTGCCTGTACTGCCGATTTCATCTGTCCGGCCTTGACTTGTATTGCCTCTCTCGTTTGTACCGTTTCACGTGTCCGGCAGTCTTTTTACACTGTTGGCCGTGTGACTCGGTGGTAGTGCGAGCGACTCACAAATGGGATGGGCATGAGTTCACATCCTGGTTGGGGGGGTTCACTCAGCCCATCATCATCATCCCTCTCTCCAGGGTCGATAAAATGAGCGACAATGTGTGTGGGAGTCTACACGTAGGCTCCGCCATAGATACGTGAAATTTCCCCCACCAACTCAGGACTGTAAACCGGCGATGATGAGCACCACCAGTGCCTCACTGAATTGACTGTAATCAATGATTCGCGATCGCTGGTTAGTCATCGCCGTCAATGATGCTTGATGATCGCATCCTCTTTACCTCCCCGCCGCTGCCACAAGGGAGAGGAAACGTCACCGCGTCGCCCAGCGCCGCCTCGCCTGGGCCCTCAGCAGGCTGCGCGAGACTCGCCAGGCCCTGGACGTCGCCGTGGAGATGGAGCGGCGCAGGGAGGTGGTGGTGAGGCAACTGGACGAGGTGAGGAGGGGGGTGGGGGTCCACTTCTGTCTCGCCTGCTGTACATTTGGAGTTTTTGTGTCTGTCTCTCTCTCTCCCCGTGGTTGCATGGATTTTTTTGTCCGGGGTATTTGGCTGCTCCAAATTTCCACGTAACGATAAGCCAATCACGTAGGTGAAAATAAAATAACAAAACAAATCACGACGTTTCGGCCACAACACAAAGCGGCCTTCATCAGGTGAAGGGACGAGACTGTCTGGAGGACAGCGCTGTCTGTGACCAGCCACAAGCTAATCGCTCAGCCATTTCAATGCTAAATTCTATGCTAATTCCTTTGTCAAGGGGTGCCTTTGCGGATGTGTATGCTTTAACTTTAACATAGCCATTTCTGTGACCAGTCACAAGCTAATCACTCAGCTATTTCAATGCTAAATTCTATGCTAATTCCTTTTGTCAAGGGGTGCCTCTGTGGATGTGTATGCTTTGACTTTAACATAGCCATTTCTGTGACCAGTCACAAGCTAATCACTCAGCCATTTCAATGCTAAATTCTATGCTAATTCCTTTGTCAAGGGGTGCCTCTGCGGATGTGTATGCTTTGACTTTAACATAGCCATTTCTGTGACCAGTCACAAGCTAATCACTCAGCCATTTCAATGCTAAATTCTATGCTAATTCCTTTGTCAAGGCGCTTTGTTTCTTCTCACACAGCTTAAAGGTCGCGATCTGAGCGTGGCTTTTTCACTCCAGCGCTGTCCTCCAGACAGTCTCGTCCCTTCACCTGATGAAGGCCGCTTGTGTTGTGGCCGAAACGTCATGATTTTTGTTTGTTATTTTATTTTTTACCTACTACGTGACTTTACCTAATAGCACCAAAGAGTATGGATCCTGGCAGTCACGAAAGCTTTGAATCTAGACTTGATAAGCCAATTAATTTGTGGCCAGGTCGCTTCCAAAAACAAGAGCTGCATAGCTGAGTGGGCCTTGCCTGGTAAAATAAAACAAATAGCTTATAAGTTTAGTATGTGCGTCGAACTTAGCCAAACGTACGTAGCCAACCGTCTGGGGAGGTCTGCGCGGTTTTTGCCGTCCTCTGCCTTCCGCATTTAATTTTTTAATCGCGGCCGCTGAGCGCCAGGGCCCAGAGGCCCGAAACGCGTCCGGGCGTGGTGCTGGCCACCCACCGCCTCGTGCGCCGTGCCGGGCTTCATCGGTGCTGCTCGCTAACATCGCTTGCTCCCAACGGTCTAAGGCTGTGCCGGGAGTCTTTGTGGGGAGCGGTAGAGTGGCAGTTAAGGCGCCGGCGCTAAGAACTTCGGCGACCCTGGTTCAGTTCCCGCTCACGGCCAACGCCAGTAACGATAACCTGAATCGGTCCTGGGCCTCCCCCGAGGTCGACTCGGCCTCAAATGAGTACCTGGGTGCGGTGTGCTGTGAACATCAGAGAACTAGGCGCTGCTGCTACCCGCCGACGGCCCCCTTTGTCTTTTCCGTGCGCGCGTTTACCGCAGACCCTGGCGCAAGTGGTGCGGTGCTGCAAGAGGAGAGACGCTCACCTCACAGAGCAGAGTCCCACTGTGCAAGCGGAGAAGGTGAAGTATGGAGCGGGGCAGGACGAAGTGGGAGGCCTGTGTGTGGTGACGTGGCTGGTCGCCAGCTGCATTGGCTTTACCGGTCGCCGGACGAACACGTCGCAAAGGCCGCGCTCGTTACGCCTCACAAAGCGCTTGCCAACAGTGGAACCGGAACACCTCGCCGACCTCGCCAACGGGGCATTAACCGCCATCGCGCGGACTCCGGTCGCCATCCTCGCAGAGCGGCCTTTGGGCTCGGCCTTCGAACGAAGGCGGCCACTGCCATAGCGCGGCAGCTTTCAGATGCGCTGCTTCTGCGGCCGTCTGGAACGCCCTTCCGACATTAGGCAGCCGCCGGAGCTGTGCACTTACGTCATCTGGATTTAAAACTGATTTCTTTAGAGCTGCTTTTTGTGTTTTAGGTTGTTGCCGTTTCCCCGCAACCTCCGATTAGCACGGTTGGCTACGTACGGTGCGAAAGAATTTCGCACCGTACGTAGAAATGCCAGTGGTACGTTTGGGGCGGGGACTTGGAGTGAAACACGTCGCTTATCTAATCGCCAAATTTCGATTGCGACGATCGTTCTCCCGACTCTGCCGAGTCTGCGGTAATAATCTGCGCACTGCCAGACGCTCGCACGCCGCGCGGACGATTCGATTTTGTTTGGCTGTGTGTCGGAGGTCGTGGCGCGGGGGGGAGGGGGCAGTTCTCAACGACATCGATGTGGGTAAGTGCCTCACACGGCGTTGGTGTGCGGTGCTTTTTTCAGGAATGTTTTGCTGGTTTTTTTTCATGGATTTTCTGTTTGCACAAAGTCACGTAGTCAAGTTTCGATTTAAAGCTTTCGTGCCTGCAAGGATTCATCTTCTTTGGTTCTTTCGGTAAAGTCACCACCACGTAGAATGAGAATAAAATAATAAATTGATCAAATAAAATGACACAATAAAAATTCTCACGACGTTTCGGCCACAACACAAGCGGCCTTCATGTCCTCCAGACAGTCTCGTCCCTTCACCTGATGAAGACCGCTTGTGTTGTAGCCGAAACGTCGTGAGAATTTTAATCGTGTTATTTTATCAATTTATTATTTTATTCTCATTCTACGTGGTGGTGACTTTACCGAAAGAACCAAAGAAGATGGTCACAGAGTCACGTTAAGAAGTTTTTCTTGTTCGTGTTTTTGTCTTTTTTGGTTTGTTGCGGTTGCACCCGATTCAAGAGCCGAACGGCTCACGGGGCTGTACCAAAATAAATGAGCTGAAATAAACTGAAGCCGAAACGTGGCCTAGCCCGAGACAGCGGTTGCTGCGAATCGCTGACTGAGCAAACGCGCGCGTTGAGTCCACGTTAACGTTGAGGGTTTCGCGCCTCTTTCGATTGTGATGCAGGCAGCGGAGCGGAGCCACGACACGGAGACGGAGAGAGCCTCGGATGTGGCGGCGGCGGCGGTGGCGGTGGTGGTGGTGGAGGGGGAGGAGAGAGGCTCCGAGTTTGTGGAGGAGAGAGATTCAGAGGTTGAGGAGGGAGTTGGGTTGAGGGAGGAGAGAGTTGGGTTGAAGGAGGAGAGAGATGGCTTGAAGGAGGAGAGAGACCAGTTGGTGGAGGAGATAAACCTGGTGGTGGAGGAGAGAGACCTGGTGGTGGAGGAGAGAGACTCTGTCGTGAAGGAGAGAGACCGTTTGAAGGAGGAGAGAAACCTGGTGGTGGAGGAGAGAGACCAGTTGAAGGAGGAGAGAAACCAGTTGAAGGAGGAGAGAGATGGTTTGAAGGAGGAGAGAAACCTGGTGGTGGAGGAGAGAGACCAGTTGAAGGAGGAGAGAGATGGTTTGAAGGAGGAGAGAGATGGTTTGAAGGAGGAGAGAAACCTGGTGGTGGAGGAGAGAGACCAGTTGAAGGAGGAGAGAGACCAGTTGAAGGAGGAGAAAGATGGTTTGAAGGAGGAGAGAGACCAGTTGGTGGAGGAGAGAGACCAGTTAAAGGAGGAGAGAAACCTGGTGGTGGAGGAGAGAGACCAGTTGAAGGAGGAGAGAGATGGTTTGAAGGAGGAGAGAGACAAGTTGAAGGAGGAGAGAGACCAGTTGAAGGAGGAGAAAGATGGCTTGAAGGAGGAGAGAGACTCTGTCGTGAAGGAGAGAGACCAGTTGGTGGAGGAGAGAGATCAGTTGAAGGAGGAGAGAGACCAGTTGAAGGAGGAGAGAGACCAGTTGAAGGAGGAGAGAGACCAGTTGAAGGAGGAGAGAGACCAGTTGAAGGAGGAGAGAGATGGCTTGAAGGAGGAGAGAGACCGTGAGGTGAAGGAGAGGGAGGCGGTGGAGAGGGGTGGACGCGCTCGAGTCGAGGAGCTGAAGAGGCTGCTGCAGATGGAGGAGGCCGCCCGGGACCGGGCCGTGCAGATGGAGGCCTCGCTGCGGGAGAGACTTCGCCTCCGGGAGGAGGAGATGAGATCGCTGCGACAGGAGCACGAGCAACGGTGAGATAAGCGGGGGGCGGACACGGCGAGATTCGAGAGAACGCGGGGAGATGGTGGGGGAGGCGCGGTGAGGCAAGGGGAGACGCAGAGGTAACACGGAGAGATCAGTTGTTCAACTAAAACTATTTAAACAAAAAATTTATTTCGATTTAAAGCTTTCGTGACTGCAAGGATTCATCTTTGGTTCTTTCGGTAAAGTCACCACGTAGAATGAGAATAAAATAATAAATTGATAAAATAAGACAATAAAATTCTCACGACGTTTCGGCCACAACACAAGCGGCCTTCATCAGGTGAAGGGACGAGACTGTCTGGAGGACAGCGCTGGAGCGAAGACAGCCAAGCTCAGACCGCGACCTTTAAGCTGTGTGAGAAGAAACAGAGCGCCTTGACAAAGGAATTAGCATAGAATTTAGCATTGAAATAGCTGAGTGATTAGCTTGTGGCTGGTCACAGAAATGGCTATGTTAAAGTTAAAGCTGAGCCCGCTGAGTTGTATAGCTCTTTTTTCAGAAGGGAGCTGGCTATCGCATATGATAGCTCAATTTATTGGCTTATCACTCGGAAATTTATAGCAGCCAAATACAGTAAAACCTTGGATTGCGAGCATAATGCGTTCCGGAAACGCGTTTGTAATCCAAAGCACTCGTACATCAAAGCATTCGTACATCAGTTGTGATCATGTGACGCTCGGCAGACAAAGCGTGTACACGTACACTGCTCGTGTTGCAACACCCTCGCTCGTTTATCAAATTAATATTTATTTAAAAAATTTTGCTCGTCTTGCAAAACACTCGCAGGCCAAGTTACTCGCAATCCAAGGTTTTACTGTGAAAGTTTATTCTAAATGTGGAGGGAAAAACCGCAGGACCCGTAAACAAATCCACGCGACCAAGGGGAGAACACGCAAACTCCGGGCGTCAGGGTTGGGATTAAATCCACAACCTCCTGTATACCAGGCGAGGTGATGCTCGGACAAATGGGAGAGATACGGAGACATTGGGGCACATGGGGAGACGTGGGAAGACAAGGGGGAGACACTGGGAGCTATCCACACACTTGTATATCCTCATTCACACACTGACGTATAGGCTCATGCTCAAACAAAGACACAGATCCCCTGTGTGGCCTACACAGGCTTTTGGGGTTAAGTGCTATAAGCGTGCACCTATGAAGGCCGCCACGGCACTTGAAGGGGCAGGTGGCCAACACTACGCCTGGCCGTCTTTGTCTCCCCATTGCAGCTTCGTATGGAGCGATAGACTAGGAAACATCCCACACAGCAGCATTACACAGCCGTTGAAAGGATAATGCTGCTCGACTGATTCGGCGGAGTAAGACCTCTGCCGCCAAACCGGTACTGGTCACGGGCTCACTACCCAGGTACGGGAGGTCATCCACTCTCTCCACAACTGCCCCATCATCACTCATGTGCAGGTGGAGTATTTTATTGCTTAAAATGCCCGGGTAGATGCGATTAGTTTTGGTGGGAATGAAAGTGCAAAGACGACTTTGGCACGCGTTTCTTGAGATGGTTTCTTTATTGAAGACACGTTCGCTCGAACAGGCGGAGACCCCACTGCAACAGCCCCGAGTCTCCCGCGCATCTCCCTTATATACGGACTGAGGCCACGCCACCCCCCCCCCCCTTCCCGAACCTTCTCGCTGATTCTGGACGCTTGCTCCACCGGCGGACCCTACCGTCCTCTTCCGTCGCCTGACCACTCCTTCATTCCCGTAGCCACCAGTCCCTTCGTACTGCAAGCTGACTCCCCTGTCATTACCTCCCGCGGCCACTAGTCCACTCGCACCGCAGGTAGACTCTATTGTCATTGCAGTAGTAAGGCCCCACCGCTAAGTGGCACAATCCCAGGTTCAGCAGTTGAGTTACCAACTCCTGATTGAACAGAAATCAACCAGATCATCAACACAGAGGGAGCCATCGCTTCACCGCACCCGGTGCAGCGATCAGCCTCCCATTGTGCCTGTACCATATAAACTCCACGCAGAAAGGCAAGGATATGAGCGCACGGAGACACGGGGGGGACACGATTGGAGACACGGGGGGACACGATTGGAGACACGATTGGAGATGTAGACACGGGGGACATGATTGGAGACACGGGGGACACGATTGGAGACACGGGGGACACGATTGGAGATGTAGAGACACGATTGGAGACACGATTGGAGATACGATTGGAGACACGATTGGAGACATGGGGGGACACGATTGGAGATGTAGAGACACGATTGGAGACACGGGAGACACGATTGGAGACACGATTGGAGACACGGGGGGACACCATTGGAGACACGGGGGACACGATTGGAGACACGGGGGGGGACACGATTGGAGACACGGGGGACACGATTGGAGACACGATTGGAGACACGATTGGAGACACGGGGGACATGATTGGAGACACGGGGAACACGATTGGAGACACGGGGGACACGATTGGAGACACGATTGGAGATACGATTGGAGACACGGGGGACACGATTGGAGATACGATTGGAGACACGATTGGAGACACCGGGGGGACACGATTGGAGACACGGGGAGACACGATTGGAGACACGGGGGACACGATTGGAGACACGGGGGACACTTTTGGAGACACGGGGGACACGATTGGAGACACGGGGGACACGATTGGAGACACGATTGGAGACACGATTGGAGACACGATTGGAGACACGATTGGAGACACGGGGGGCACTTTTGGAGACACGGGGGACACGATTGGAGACACGGGGAGACACGATTGGAGACACCATTGGAGACACGATTGGAGACACGGGGGGGACACGATTGGAGACACGGGGGGACACGATTGGAGACACGATTGGAGATACGATTGGAGACACGATTGGAGACACGATTGGAGACACGATTGGAGACACGGGGGACACGATTGGAGACACGATTGGAGATACGATTGGAGACACGATTGGAGACACGATTGGAGACACGATTGGAGACACGGGGGACACGATTGGAGACACGATTGGAGACACGAATGGAGACACGTCTGGAGACACACCGGGGGGACCGTGGACGCTCCGGTTGGCGCGCGTGCTTCTTCCTATGCCGGTGTCCCCTGCAGCCTAGGGAACGTCCGCGCGGAGACGGAGCGCGTGTCCTGGGAGAAGCGAGCCCTCGAGACGTGGAGACGCGAGACGACGCTCGCGCTGTCTCGCCTCGTCCGCCACGAGACGGCGTCGGCAGAGGCCGCCGGCGACGGCGCGGGCAACGCCGGCGGCCCCAACGTGCACGCGGGCGGCCCCAACGCGCACGCGGGCGGCCCCAACGCGCACGCGGGCGGCCCCAACGCGCACGCGGGCGGCCCCAACGCGCACGCGGGCGGCCCCGTCGCGTGCCCCGCGGCCACGCTCGGCCCCGCCATCGGCGCAGCCCCCCAGGACACGTCCATCCGCAATTTGCACGACTCGAGCCCCAACAAATACGCGCCTGTCCAGAACACACGCACATCTCTGGCTAACGCGTACCGGACTGTCCCTAACGCGCACCAGACTGTCCCTCACGCATACCACACTGTCCCTAACACACACCAGAACATCCCTAACGTATACCACACTTTCCCTATTACACACCAGACTGTTCCTGTTACACACCAGACTGTCCCTATTACACACCAGACTGTTCCTGTTACACACCAGACTGTCCCTATTACACACCAGACTGTCCCTAACGCGCACCACACTGTCCCTAACGCATACCACACTGTCCCTCACGCATACCAGACTGTCCCTAACGCGCACCACACTGTCCCTCACGCATACCACACTATCCCTATTACACACCAGACTGTCCCTGTTACACACCAGTCTATCTCTAACACACACCAGACTGTCCCTAACACACACCAGACTGTCCCTAACACACACAAGACTGTCCCTAACACACACCAGACTGTCCCTAACACACACAAGACTATCTCTATCGCACACCAGACTGTCCCCATTACACACCAGTCTATCTCTAACGCACACCAGACTGTCCCTATTACACACCAGTCTATCGCTGACGCATACCAGATTATCCCTAACGCACACCAGACTGTCCCTATTACACACCAGACTGACCCTAACACACACCAGACTGTCCCTAACACACACAAGTCTATCGCTGACGCATACCAGATTATCCCTAACGCACACCAGACTGTTCCTATTACACACCAATCTATCGCTGACGCATACCAGATTATCCCTAACGCACACCAGACTGTTCCTATTACACACCAATCTATCGCTGACGCATACCAGATTATCCCTAACGCACACCAGACTGTTCCTATTACACACCAATCTATCGCTGACGCATACCAGATTATCCCTAACGCACACCAGACTGTCCCTATTACACACCAGACTGACCCTAACACATACCAGTCTATCTCTAACGCACACCAGACTGTCCCTATGACACACCAGTCTATCTCTAACACACACCAGACTGTCCCTATTACACACCAGACTGACCCTAACACATACCAGATTATCCCTAACGCACACCAGACTGTCCCTATTACACACCAGATTATCCCTAACGCACACCAGACTGTCCCTATTACACACCAGATTATCCCTAACGCACACCAGACTGTCCCTATTACACACCAGACTGTCCCTATTACACACCAGACTATCCCTAACACAGACTCGTCTGTAGCCACTCCGCCCCTCTTCAATGTCACCACATCCGCCTCCGGCGCCGCCACTTGCGCAACAAACGCCCGCAGCCATAACGGACGCACGACCAGCCCCACCGTGTCCGAGTTCATCCCCGGCACGTCCACCGCCGGCCACGCCACGTCCACCGCCGGCCACGCCACGTCCACCGTTGGCTCGCAGGGCAGAGGGGACAAGTGGAGAGGGGAAAGAGAACGGGAGCTGAGGAGATACGTGCAGATGGTAACTTGCTCCACACATGCACGCACACATACATCGATACATGTACGTACATGTACACACCCATATATGCAATCGCACGTATACACGTTACACACTCAAACATGTACTCACACATATACAGTGAGGGAAAAAAGTATTAGATCCCCTGCTGATTTTGTACATTTGCCCACTGAGAAAGAAATGATCAGTCTATAATTTTTATGGTAGGTTTATTTGAACAGTGAGAGACAGAATAACAACAAAAACATCCAGAAAAACGCATGTCAAAAATGTTATACATTTATTTGCATTTAATGAGGGAAATAAGTATTTGACCCCCTCTCAATCAGAAAGATTTCTGGCTCCCAGGTGTCTTTATACAGGTAACGAGCTGAGATTAGGAGCACACTCTTGAAGGGAATGCTCCTAATCTCAGCTTGTTACCTCTATAAAGAGACCTGTCCACAGAAGCAATCAATCAGATTCCAAACTCTCCACCATGGCCAAGACCAAAGAGCTCTCCAAGGATGTCAGGGACAAGATTGTAGACCTACACAAGGCTGGAATGGGCTACAAGACCATTGCCAAGCAGCTTGGTGAGAAGGTGACAACAGTTGGTGCGATTATTCGCAAATGGAAGAAACACAAAAGAACTGTCAATCTCCCTCGGCCTGGGGCTCCATGCAAGATCTCACCTCGTGGAGTTGCAATGATCATGAGAACGGTGAGGAATCAGCCCAGAACTACACGGGAGGATCTTGTCAATGATCTCAAGGCAGCTGGGACCATAGTCACCAAGACAACAATTGGTAACACACTACACCGTGAAGGACTGAAATCCTGCAGCGCCCGCAAGGTCCCCCTGCTGAAGAAAGCACATACATGCCCGTCTGAAGTTTGCCAATGAACATCTGAATGATTCAGAGGACAACTGGGTGAAAGTGTTGTGGTCAGATGAGACCAAAATGGAGCTCTTTGGCATCAACTCAAGTCGCCGTGTTTGGAGGAGGAGGAATGCTGCCTCTGACCCCAAGAACACCATCCCCACCGTCAAACATGGAGGTGGAAACATTATGCTTTGGGGGTGTTTTCTGCTAAGGGAACAGGACAACTTCACCGCATCAAAGGGACGATGGACGGGGCCATGTACCGTCAAATCTTGGGTGAGAACCTCCTTCCCTCAACCAGGGCATTGAAAATGGGTCGTAGATGGGTATTCCAGCATGACAATGACCCAAAACACACGGCCAAGGCAACAAAGGAGTGGCTCAAGAAGAAGCACATTAAGGTCCTGGAGTGGCCTAGCCAGTCTCCAGACCTTAATCCCAAAGAAAATCTGTGGATGGAGCTGAAGGTTCGAGTTGTCAAACGTCAGCCTCGAAACCTTAATGACTTGGAAAAGATCTGCAAAGAGGAGTGGGACAAAATCCCTCCTGAGATGTGTGCAAACCTGGTGGCCAACTACAAGAAACGTCTGACCTCTGTGATTGCCAACAAGGGTTTTGCCACCAAGTACTAAGTCATGTTTTGCAGAGGGGTCAAATACTTATTTCCCTCATTAAAATGCAAATCAATTTATAACATTTTAGACATGCGTTTTTCTGGATTTTTTTGTTGTTATTCTGTCAGCAGGGGATTAAATACTTTTTTTCCCTCACTGTATACTCGCACGTAGCCTCAGCAGACTTTTGGGGCAAGTGCTGTTAGCGAGCACCTATGAAGGCCGGCACGGCACACGAGGGGGGGTGGGTGGCCAGCACCACGCCCGGCCGCCTTTGTCTCCCCAGCGGTGATGTTGACTGCACACCGCACCTGGTACTCATTCGTAAGGTTGATTCGACCTCGGGGAAGCTCGGCACCGGTTCAGATATTCGCCACCGTTATTGGTCGTGAGCAGGAATCGAACTGGGGTTGTTGGCTTTGTGGCGCGGGGCGGCGCCAACCACTCCACCACCACCGCTCCCCACACTCATTCTCATGCACTCATGCTCACACAGTCACGTATACTCGTATAGACACACATGTACTACACGCTCAGTGATCACATCATTGATGATGGTGATGTGGTAGTGGATGGTGGCGGTGGTAGTGGATGATGATGGTGGAGGTGGTAGTGGATGATGATGGTGGAGATGGTAGTGGATGATGATGGTGGAGTGGATGATGATGGTGGAGGTGGTAGTGGATGATGGTGGTGGAGGTGGTAGTGGATGATGGTGGTGAGGTGGTAGTGGATGATGGTTGAGGTGGTAGTGGATGATGGTGGAGATGGTAGTGGATGATGATGGTGGAGGTGGTAGTGGATGATGATGGTGAGGTGGTAGTGGATGATGATGGTGGAGGTGGTAGTGGATGATGGTGGAGGTGGTAGTGGATGATGGTGGAGGTGGTAGTGGATGATGATGGTGGAGGTGGTAGTGGATGATGATGGTGGTAGTGGATGATGGTGAGGTGGTAGTGGATGATGATGGTGGAGGTGGTAGTGGATGATGATGGTGGAGGTGGTAGTGGATGATGATGGTGGAGGTGGTAGTGGATGATGATGATGGTGGAGGTGGTAGTGGATGGTGATGGTGGAGGTGGTAGTGGATGATGGTGGAGGTGGTAGTGGATGATGATGGTGGAGGTGGTAGTGGATGATGATGGTGGAGTTGGTAGTGGATGATGGTGGTGGAGGTAGTGGTTGATGGTGGTGGAGGTGGTAGTGGATGATGATGGTGGAGGTGGTAGTGGATGATGATGGTGAAGGTGGTAGTGGATGATGGTGAGGTGGTAGTGGATGATGATGGTGGAGGTGGTAGTGGATGATGATGGTGGAGGTGGTAGTGGATGATGATGGTGGAGGTGGTAGTGGATGATGATGGAGGTGGTAGTGGATGATGATGGTGAGGTGGTAGTGGATGATGGTGGAGGTGGTAGTGGATGATGATGGTGGAGGTGGTAGTGGATGATGATGGTGAGGTGGTAGTGGATGATGGTGGTGAGGTGGTAGTGGATGATGATGTCGAGGTGGTAGGGATGATGATGGTGGAGGTGGTAGTGGATGGTGATGGTGGAGGTGGTAGTGGATGATGGTGGAGGTGGTAGTGGATGATGGTGGAGGTGGTAGTGGATGATGATGGTGGAGGTGGTAGTGGATGATGATGGTGGAGGTGGTAGTGGATGATGATGGTGGAGGTGGTAGTGGATGATGGTGGAGGTGGTAGTGGATGATGGTGGAGATGGTAGTGGATGGTGATGGTGGAGGTGTAGTGGATGATGATGGTGGAGTGGTAGTGGATGATGGTGGAGGTGGTAGTGGATGGTGATGGTGGAGGTGGTAGTGGTGATGATGGTGGAGGTGGTAGTGGATGATGATGGTGGAGGTGGTAGTGGATGATGGTGAGGTGGTAGTGGATGATGATGGTGGAGGTGGTAGTGGGATGATGATGGTGGAGGTGGTAGTGGATGATGATGGTGGAGGTGGTAGTGGATGATGATGGTGGAGGTGGTAGTGGATGATGATGGTGGAGGTGGTAGTGGATGATGGTGGAGGTGGTAGTGGATGATGATGGTGGAGGTGGTAGTGGATGATGATGGTGGAGGTGGTAGTGGATGATGGTGGAGGTGGTAGTGGATGATGACGGTGGAGGTGGTAGTGGATGATGATGGTGAGGTGGTAGTGGATGATGGTGGTGAGGTGGTAGTGGATGATGATGGTGGAGGTGGTAGTGGATGATGGTGGTGGAGGTAGTGGTTGATGGTGGTGGAGGTGGTAGTGGATGATGATGGTGGAGGTGGTAGTGGATGATGATGGTGGAGGTGGTAGTGGATGATGGTGGAGGTGGTAGTGGATGATGATGGTGGAGGTGGTAGTGGATGATGGTGAGGTGGTAGTGGATGATGATGGTGGAGGTGGTAGTGGATGATGATGGTGGAGGTGGTAGTGGATGATGATGGTGGAGGTGGTAGTGGATGATGATGGTGGAGGTGGTAGTGGATGGTGATGGTGGAGGTGGTAGTGGATGATGGTGGAGGTGGTAGTGGATGATGATGGTGGAGGTGGTAGTGGATGATGATGGTGAGGTGGTAGTGGATGATGGTGGTGAGGTGGTAGTGGATGATGATGGTGGAGGTGGTAGTGGATGATGGTGGTGGAGGTAGTGGTTGATGGTGGTGGAGGTGGTAGTGGATGATGATGGTGGAGGTGGTAGTGGATGATGATGGTGAAGGTGGTAGTGGATGATGGTGAGGTGGTAGTGGATGATGATGGTGGAGGTGGTAGTGGATGATGATGGTGGAGGTGGTAGTGGATGATGATGGTGGAGGTGGTAGTGGATGATGATGGTGGAGGTGGTAGTGGATGATGATGGTGGAGGTGGTAGTGGATGATGGTGGAGGTGGTAGTGGATGATGATGGTGGAGGTGGTAGTGGATGATGATGGTGAGGTGGTAGTGGATGATGGTGGTGAGGTGGTAGTGGATGATGATGGTCGAGGTGGTAGTGGATGATGATGGTGGAGGTGGTAGTGGATGATGATGGTGGAGGTGGTAGTGGATGATGGTGGAGGTGGTAGTGGATGATGGTGGAGGTGGTAGTGGATGATGATGGTGGAGGTGGTAGTGGATGATGATGGTGGAGGTGGTAGTGGATGATTGTGGAGGTGGTAGTGGATGATGGTGGAGGTGGTAGTGGATGATGGTGGAGATGGTAGTGGATGGTGATGGTGGAGGTGGTAGTGGATGATGATGGTGGAGGTGGTAGTGGATGATGGTGGAGGTGGTAGTGGATGGTGATGGTGGAGGTGGTAGTGGATGATGATGGTGGAGGTGGTAGTGGATGATGATGGTGGAGGTGGTAGTGGATGATGGTGAGGTGGTAGTGGATGATGATGGTGGAGGTGGTAGTGGATGATGATGGTGGAGGTGGTAGTGGATGATGATGGTGGAGGTGGTAGTGGATGATGATGGTGGAGGTGGTAGTGGATGATGATGGTGGAGGTGGTAGTGGATGATGGTGGAGGTGGTAGTGGATGATGATGGTGGAGGTGGTAGTGGATGATGATGGTGGAGGTGGTAGTGGATGATGGTGGAGGTGGTAGTGGATGATGATGGTGGAGGTGGTAGTGGATGATGATGGTGAGGTGGTAGTGGATGATGGTGGTGAGGTGGTAGTGGATGATGATGGTGGAGGTGGTAGTGGATGATGGTGGTGGAGGTAGTGGTTGATGGTGGTGGAGGTGGTAGTGGATGATGATGGTGGAGGTGGTAGTGGATGATGATGGTGGAGGTGGTAGTGGATGATGATGGTGGTAGTGGTTGATGGTGGTGGAGGTGGTAGTGGATGATGGTGGTGGTGGTAGTGGATCATGGTGGAGGTGGTAGTGGATGATGGTGGAGGTGGTAGTGGATGATGGTGGAGGTGGTAGTGGGTGATGGTCGAGGTGGTAGTGGATGATGATGGTGGAGGTGGTAGTGGATGATGATGGTGGAGGTGGTAGTGGATGATGATGGTGGAGGTGGTAGTGGATGATGGTGGAGGTGGTAGTGGATGATGGTGGAGGTGGTAGTGGATGATGATGGTGAGGTGGTAGTGGATGATGGTGGAGGTGGTAGTGGATGATGATGGTGGAGGTGGTAGTGGATGATGATGGTGAGTTGGTCGTGGATGAGTTTGGTAATGACATTGATGCTAACGATTTTGCAGCTGTTAAGCCGTTCCCCGGGAATTCCTCTGAGTGGGGAGTTTCGGGAGTCTGCATCCGCTCTGGGCAGGTGAGCATACCATCGCACACTCACCCTCTCTCCCGCTCAATCAAACATTCATCCACTCGTTCACCCACACGCTCACCCTCTCTTCCACGCAATCACACGTTCATCCATTCGCTCACCCAATCACACATCCACTCGCTCACCCACTCACACTCTCTTCTCCCACGCAATCAGACATTCTTCACTCGCTCACCCTGTAGCACATCAACTCACTCGCAGACCCGTTCACACGGTAATTCTCTCAACCACAAACTCGCACAATAGCTGCTCACCCACCCACTCGCACAAATAACTCGGTCACCCTCTTACACGCTAGCTCACCTACCCGCCCACTCAAATACTAATTCACTCATCCACCAATTCACTTGCGTAACCACTCGTCGACCTGGTCACCAAGTTTCCCACCCGTTCAGCCGCTCGCCATAATAACAACAATCGTGCAATCTGTAATGCGCCCAATATTTCGCAAACATAAATGACCATGTGAGGCTCGCGGAGCCAAGCTCGGTGTTACTTGAAAACTCAGAGAAAGAAGATGGGGCGATTGAGAAAGAGGCGGGGGCTTGAGGTGTCCAAGGTGTAGATTGATCGCTGCTGCTGTCTGCTGTCTGCTGTCTGTTGGCTGCTGCTGTCTGCTGCTGGCTGCTGGCTGCTGTCTGCTGGCTGCTGCTGCTGTCTGCTGCTGCTGTCTGCTACTGTCTGCTGCTGCTGTCTGTTGCTGTCTGCTGTCTGCTGCTGTCTGCTGCTACTGCTGGCTGCTGGCTGCTGTCTTCTGCTGGCTGCTGCTGTCTGCTGCTGCTGTCTGCTGGCTGCTGTTGGCTGCTGTCTGCTGCTGTCTGCTGCTGCTGTCTGCTGCTGCTGGCTGCTGCTGCTGTCTGCTGCTGTCTGCTGGCTGCTGCTGCTGTCTGCTGTCTGCTGCTGTCTGCTGCTGGCTGCTGGCTGCTGCTGTCTGCTGTCTGTTGGCTGCTGGCTGCTGTCTGCTGCTGCTGGCTGCTGTCTGTTGGCTGCTGCTGCTGTCTGCTGTCTGTTGGCTGCTGCTGCTGTCTGCTGTCTGTTGGCTGCTGGCTGCTGTCTGTTGGCTGCTGGCTGCTGTCTGTTGGCTGCTGCTGCTGTCTGTTGGCTGCTGCTGCTGGCTGCTGTCTGCTGTTGGCTGCTGCTGTCTGCTGCTGCTGTCTGCTGCTGTCTGCTGCTGGCTGCTGTTTGCTGCTGGCTGCTGCTGCTGGCTGCTACTGCTGTTTGCTGCTGTCTGCTGCTGTCTGCTGCTGCTGTCTGCTGCTGTCTGCTGTTGGCTGCTGTCTGCTGCTGCTGCTGGCTGCTGCTGCTGTCTGCTGCTGGCTGCTGTTTGCTGCTGGCTGCTGGCTGCTGCTGTCTGCTGCTGTCTGCTGCTGGCTGCTGCTGCTGCTGCTGGCTGCTGTCTGCTGCTGCTGTCTGCTGCTGGCTGCTGTCTGCTGCTGGCTGCTGCTGCTGTCTGCTGTCTGCTGCTGTCTGCTGCTGGCTGCTGGCTGCTACTGTCTGCTGCTGGCTGCTGCTGTCTGCTGGCTGCTGCTGCTGCTGTTTGCTGCTGGATGCTGTCTGCTGCTGCTGCTGTCTGCTGCTGTCTGCTGCTGGCTGCTGGCTGCTGGCTGCTGCTGCTGGCTGCTGCTGCTGGCTGCTGCTGCTGTCTGCTGCTGGCTGCTGTCTGCTGCTGCTGTCTGCTGGCTGCTGCTGCTGCTGTCTGCTGCTGCTGTCTGCTGCTGCTACTGCTGTCTGCTGCTGCTGTCTGCTGGCTGCTGTCTGCTGTCTGCTGCTGTCTGCTGCTGCTACTGCTGTCTGCTGCTGCTGGCTGCTGAGGGAGGGTAGCGAAGAGAGATCCTGCGGATGACCCACTTCACTCACTCGTTCACAAGACAAAGACCCCCCGTGTAGCCTTAACAGACTGTTGGGGCAAGTGCTGTTAGCGAGCAGCACCTACAAAGGCCGGCAGGGGCACGGCACACGAGGAGGTGGGTGGCCAGCACCACGCCCCGCCCACTTTTGTCTCCCTCGTAGCGATGCTTACTACGTACCGCGCCGGGTACTTACTTAAGGCTGAGTCGACCTAGGGGAGGATGCCCAGGAACGTTTCCGATTATCCTCACCGGTGTTGGTGACCGCGAGCGGGAATCGAACTCGGGCCGCCGGGTTCGTAGCGCAGCGTAGCGCTAACCGCCGTGCCAACACTCCCCCCACTCGCTCGTTAATTCACACCCACACACCCACACACCCACAACAACAGCCGCCGTTCGCCACTAAGTGGCAGTGATGTTACCATGGCGCTTGTGCCAGGCCCCAGGCCATCACGCGAAGTGTCGAACGCTGTCCGTTGGCACGAGGTCGCGGGATCAGACCCAGGTGCCGTGGGACAGACCCAGGTTGCCGTGGGACAGACCCAGGTTGCCGTGGGACAGACCCAGGTTGCCTTGGGACAGACCCAGGTTGCCTTGGGACAGACCCAGGTTGCCGTGGGACAGACCCAGGTTGCCGTGGGACAGACCCAGGTTGCCGTGGGACAGACCCAGGTTGCCGTGGGACAGACCCAGGTTGCCTTGGGACAGACCCAGGTGCCGTGGGTTGAGATGGCTGGCAGGTGCACCACGTTCGCCCACTCGCTCGGCCACTCGCAGCTTCAGTTTTGGCTGAAAAATGGATTCGAATCCCCAGAGCAGCGCCTCCATCAGTGTTGCCCATGATTGAAAACTCACTTCTCTAGAACTGCTTCATGTGGTTAGTTAGTTGCCCTTCACCCCGCGCCTCCGGTTGGCGCGGCTGGCCACGTACGTGGTGCGAAAGGAGTTCAACACGCATGCATTTCAAGAGTCTCTTGACGCGGCCGCTGTGAACCGCCTGTACGCCACGGATGTTGATTTGTCTCGACAGGGCCCCCGCCGAGACGCGTCCGCCTCATCAACCTCCTCTTCCTCCGCCCCGCCCGAGTTCTGTCGGAGAGGCTGTCTGCTCACCCCTTGTCCCAAGCACTTGCAAGGTCTGCGTTGCACCCTGTGTTTTTTTGCAGAACGCAGCTGCAGCTGCTGCTGCTGCTGCTGGAGTGGTCACGCCCTCCACCGTTTCGCACGCACGCATCATCACACCCCCTGTTCTCTTGTCTTCTTTGCACTGGCTACCATCTCCGATTAGCTACGTACGCTTCGAAAGAAGTTGGACGTACCTACGCTCTGTACTCGTGCAACGGCGTGTTTTCAGAGCGCAAATTGGACACGTTGCGATCGAGCGAACGGAACGTCGTCGCAGCGCGAGTCGGATTCGGCGTGTCGTGCGGCCGCCTCGGCGTAGCGTCATCGCGCAAGGCCTTGGGGATGCCGCTGGATGCTTCTAGACGCTGCCCGCACGCGCCTGAGTTTTCGGTCGGCCTGCATGCGCATCTCACGCGTTACCGTGGACCGTCCTCTTTACCCTGTATCGTGTACTATTTATCACAACGCGACTCTTCCATATCGTGGCGTTCTTGGGGGGAACGCAACTATCCGCTGCTGCTGCTGCCCTACAATGCACTCAGTGGGTTAGCCCCACAATATTTACAGGGACCAATCCGTTTGTATCCTCCCGACCATGGCCGTGAGATCTTCCGAGGACTCGGGGGGGGCTCAAGGCCCTGCTGCCGGGGTGACGGGGATTTTGCCGCTGCAGCACCCCAAGCTCTGGGCCCACGCTTTGCTCATGAGACAGCCGGATTTGTTGGCCGTATTTTAAGCCCATCTTTAAAATGTCCAACCCCTTCAAACTGACCGACCTGGTTTTGGCCGATTATCCTGCAGGCTCTGTTCAGTTCCTGCTGTCCAAATGGGGCGCATTGGGATCTACGGGTGAAATGCGGCACTTCACAAATGTTAATTGTTAATGTTATTAAGTGCCGCCTTAATTTAATAAGGTTTTGCATGCGCCAGGGCCCTCGTTTAAAATCCTCAGCGACTCAAAAGCACCCCATACGTCACATCGTAGCTGGAACCATTCCAAACCCGTTGGCAGCAATAGCAGCGGTCTAGCCAAGGGGAACCCCCGGTGGCAGCCATCTCTGCACGGTGCAAGGTTGCACGCAAACATTAAACTCATTTTCAGTGGTACGGTATATTTTTCAAGTTAGTGGTACCCCAAACTTTCGCAGCTCTTAAAAATTCCCTTTTCACACCATCAATAGGTAAGCTCCCCCTCTCCCCCCCGCGCCAACCGGCATGTTCATGTACACCACCTCTACACCGTTCATCATGCTAAGTCGGCCAATCAAACGCTAATTTTTTATGCTAATTCCTTTGTCAAGGCACCACCTTGTTTCCTCGCACACAGCTTAGAGGTCCGCGGTCCGAGCGTGGCTGTGTTTCGCTCCAGCGCTGTCCTCGAGACAGCCCGGTCCCTTCGCCTGATGAAGGCCGCTTGTGTTGCGGCCGAAGCGTCCGTGATTGTTGTTGTTTCATTTTTTACCTACGCGGCTTCTCCCGCCTAGCCTAAAAGTCGCTGCGAATCTCTGCAGCGTTCATTGAAGCGCTGTCGTCCCGACAGTTCTGTTCCCTCGCCTGAAGAAGGCTACTACCTGTGGTGTGGCCGAAACGTCGTGAGAACTTTTTATTTTATCATGATTTTTGTTGTTTTATTTTTTTTTACCTACTACGTGACTTTACCCAGTAGAACCAAAGAGCGTGTTGCACGCAGCATCGGCCTTTCAAAATGATAACGACTGTACGGCGTCGTTACCAAACGCCTGCGCGTCAATACCAAACGCCCCCGTTCAGCCGTGCCAGGAACGTAACCCTATAATTTTTTTCCACGAGGTTTGTGCATTCGTGAGAGGTGTTTGTCTTGCCGCCCCGCGCGTCTCCCCGTGTCCGCGTGGGCAGCCTCCTCCGCACGGCCCCACCGCCGCCCATCCCGCCACCCCGCCCCTCCACTGCAGTGCCGCGTCGCTCCAGGTCAGCGGGAGGCGGCGTCCGTCAAGCCGGGCGCAGTCGCAGAGGTGCTGTGTGGCGGTAGCGCAGTCCGGCGAACAAGGATCGGGACTCGAGGCGCTCGAGATACAGGGGCGGGCGGGCGGGGCTGCCAATTTTTTTCCGGCGTTGTACAACGCAAAACAGGCACGGTAACCGCCGAGAGTCGTCGTGGGGGGCATGCAAGGTCACGTGACTTGTAACGCGCGCATACGTTCGTTTAAAGGGTATTTGGCTGCTGCTGGACATTTCCATTTTGTTGAGCTATCGTTTGTGGCCAGGTTGCTTTTGAAAAAGAGCTACAGCAGACTCGGATTATCCGCAGCAATGACGGGGGGGAGGGTGGCTGCGGATCATTCAAAAATCCTAAAATATAACCACTTTTGACAGACCGATGATGCGCGTGCTCATTGGACGGTGACACTTTCCCGCTCGCGCGCAGAAGACTCCGCCCCGCTCGGCAGAGCCACAGCCAATCGGACATCGATCAAACGCCGCCCCGCGCCGCTGTAAAGACATTGCAACCACTGTGCTGTTGAGGCGATCGCGTGGATTGTCGGAACGAACCGGAGCAACATATCTGTTCGGTTCAAGCACCTTGTGGCTCGCGATGAACGTTTCCACAAGAATAACGATCAATAATTGTTGGCGCGCTCATTTCACCAACTGGCTTTTCCTGGTGAGGGTCGCGTTGCCGGCCCCATTTTGAGTAGTGGCGGTCCAGACGTCCCTTTTCCCTGGCGACAGAACTCTAGCTCTCCCTGGGTGAATTCCCAGGCGTTCCCAGGCCAGCTGAGCGACATCGTCCCGCTTGAGAGAAAATCCACACGTTATGAATTTATGTCAAGATGCGAGGCGCGCGGTTAATACGCAGATCGGAGAGATCGCACGCGGATAATCGACGGCCTGCTGTGTATAGCTCAGTGGGCCTTACGTTGGTAAACTAAAAAAAAGTTTTTACTTCACGGTAAAGCGCTTGTTCATTCGATACATGTGGGGCTCTGGCCTTGCCGAATTATCCAATATTCCGATAAACAGCAGTGCCCCAGAGATGGAACTTAATTCGTTCCAGAAGGCCATTCGAACACCGATTTGTTCGAACACAGAATACATTTTCCCCATAAGAATGAATGCAAATGACATCAATTGGTTCCAGACGCAAGAAACCTCTCATTATAAAGCATTTTTTTCACACGAAGTTCACAGTAATTGCATGCATAAAATCATACAACAACAATAACAACAACAAACTTTGTGTATGGGTAAAAACCAAAAAACACTCGAATAAAGGAAATCAACGAAAAAGTCGAGGAACAACGTTTTGCGGGTAACTGCACTGTGGGCGAGAGCTACGTGTTAACTGAGCCTCTCGCGCAGGAAAACCTTTGCCCGGGCAAGCGTCGTGCACGCTGCCCACACGCGTCTCAGCCGTGTACAGGTTTTATGTTTAAGTCGCGATTGCCCCGTTCGACCGCCGAATTTCGTTGGGTTTCCGGGGCAAAAAAATGTTGGGAAGAATCGTCCGAACGCCGATTTTGTTCGAGTTCTGGTGCGTTCGATCTCCCGGGCTCTACTGTATTCCGAATGACATATATACGACGGTACTCGCCCCCCCTCCTCAGTGCCTCCTGCACCAATAAAACAAAAACTAAAAATCCAAATCAGCTTTCCAAACTCTTAACGCGCACCCTACGCATCGAAACACAACAACAACCGCCATTCGCCACTAAGTGGCAGTGACGTCACCACGACGCTTGTGCCAGGCTATGTGCACCGTGAGGCCACGTGAAGTGTCGAACGCCCGCTGGCAGGAGGTCACTGGGCAGACCCAGCAGGTGCCACGGGTTGACTGACGGGCACGCACGCACGTGCACACACACCCCGAAATCAATTCTATCCAAAACTTTTGATTTGTTTCGCAGACTCGGGGATTTACGTACGATCGGTCCCTTGCTGCTCGATGTAAGGGGTGGACACGAGCTAAAGTCCAGCGCCACGGGCATCGCGGCGACCTCGCCACACGGCGCGCCCCGGCACCGCCACCGGGTCGCCGTTTTTGGTCGTGGCGCGCCGAAATTGGGTGCCATCCGGTGCGGCGATTCGGCTCGCGGCGAACTACCAGCACGCCCACGCGCGTGCCGAAAAGCCGCGGCCGTGCGGAATTACCAGCGATTCCGAATCGTATTAATCGGTTACCGAAATAACGAGGTTTTGCTGCATACTCGACAACATCGGTGAGTATTTTTTATTTTTTTTAGAGACGGGTGAGAGAGAGCGAGAGATCGAGGTCAAATCTATATTTGAAGAACGAGGTAACTCTGATTTAGCTCGACGTGGTGTCGTTTGCGCTAAACTCCCAATCAGGGGGGTTGTTACTCTTTGGTTATGCAGGTCAAAAATGAAGTTAATCAAATCACGACGTTTCGGAAGCAGCACAAGCCTCCGTCATCAGGTGGGATAGTCACAGCAAGAAGCCATTTGCTGTGTTGTTGTCGGCGTTTGTACGGTACACAGGGTAGTCCCCGACTTACGATGGAGATGCATTACGACGACCCCTATCGTAAGTCGAAAATATCGTAAGTCAAAAATGGCCCTAGCCTACCCAGGAGTCTTAAAGATTGGTGGTAATTGAGCAAAACGGAGCAATTTACAGTACCGTACTGTATAAACTATATATACTGTATGTATTTATTTATTACAATACTGTATTGCACAGCACAATTTAAAGTTTAATAAACAAGGTACATTCTTAGCCTACCTACGTGAACTGCAATTTCATTGAAAGTTTTTTTTCTGGAAACAATCCTATCTGCTATTAAAAAAAACTTAACATGCATTGAACGTAACGTTGCGTATCGTGGTAACCCTAAAATTAAACCGCTAAAGCTACGTACCATACATGCATTGAACGTATCGTAACGTATCATATTGTACTGATATTAACCAAGATTCTGTCCGTCGTCTGCATACTTGAACGATGTTAGGATGATGGCTACATTAACTTATTTATTACAATACTGAGCTTGGCTCTGTTTCACTCCAGCGCTGTCCTACCAGACAGTCTCGTCCCTTCACCTGATGAAGGCCGCTTGTGTTGTGGCCGAAACGTCGTGATTTTTTGTCGTTTTATTTTTTTACCTACTACGTGACTTTACCGAATAGAACCAAAGAGTATTAACTTAGTCGTCGGAAGAGGAGGATGGCGATGATAAAGTTACAGTATCGTACCTCGCTGTACGCTGCCGCGCGAAATTAAAAAATATTTTTCAATTGTCATATCGCTATCGCCATAGTAAGATCGAAATATCGTAAGTCGGGGACCATCGTAGGCCGGGGGGACTACCTGTATATGTATGTCCTGCATGGATACCATAGCTGTCAACCCATACGGTTTACCCCGGATTCTTGTACAAGGAAACTTGAGTGTTCAGGTCCATATGCGTACAGCCGTTTCAATGCAGGCAAACGTCTTTCCTTGGCGATTTGTGTTTCTCCCTTGTGATGGGACCAATAAGGTCCGAGTTGGTCTGCAACAAGGTAGTGTAGTGTATAATAGTGTGGTGTATTAGTAGTGCAGTGTATAGTAGTGTAGTGTATAGTAGTGTAGTGTATAAGTGTGGTGTATTAGTAGTGTAGTGTATAGTAGTGTAGTGTATAGTAGTGTATAATAGTGTGGTGTATTAGTAGTGCAGTGTATAGTAGTGCAGTGTATAGTAGTGTAGTGTATAGTAGTGTATAATAGTGTGGTGTATTAGTAGTGTAGTGTATAGTAGTGTAGTGTATAGTAGTGTGGTGTATTAGTAGTGCAGTGTATAGTAGTGTAGTGTATAGTAGTGTGGTGTATTAGTAGTGTAGTGTATAGTAGTGTAGTGTATAATAGTGTGGTGTATTAGTAGTGCAGTGTATAGTAGTGTAGTGTATAATAGTGTGGTGTATTAGTAGTGCAGTGTATAGTAGCGTAGTGTATAGTAGTGTAGTGTATAATAGTGCAGTGTATAGTAGTGAGTGTATAGTAGTGTAGTGTATAATAGTGTGGTGTATTAGTAGTGCAGTGTAATAGTAGTGTAGTGTATAGTAGTGTAGTGTATAATAGTGTGGTGTATTAGTAGTGCAGTGTATAGTAGTGTAGTGTATAGTAGTGTAGTGTATAATAGTGGGGGTGTATTAGTAGTGCAGTGTATAGTAGCGTAGTGTATAGTAGTGTAGTGTATAATAGTGCAGTGTATAGTAGTGTAGTGTATAGTAGTGTAGTGTATAATAGTGTGGTGTATTAGTAGTGCAGTGTATAGTAGTGTAGTGTATAGTAGTGTAGTGTATAATAGTGTGGTGTATTAGTAGTGCAGTGTATAGTAGTGTAGTGTATAGTAGTGTAGTGTATAATAGTGTGGTGTATTAGTAGTGCAGTGTATAGTAGTGTAGTGTAGAGTAGTGTATAGTAGTGTAGTGTATAGTAGTGTAGCGTATAGTAGTGTAGTGTATAATAGTGCAGTGTATAGTAGTGTAGTGTATAGTGTAGTGTATAGTAGTGTAGTGTATAGTAGTGTAGTGTATAGTAGTGTAGTGTATAGTAGTGTATAGTGTAGTGTATAGTAGTGTAGTGTATAGTAGTGTAGTGTATAGTAATGTAGTGTATAGTAGTGTATAGTAGTGTAGTGTATAGTAGTGCAGTGTATAGTAGTGCAGTGTATAGTAGTGCAGTGTATAGTAGTGCAGTGTATAGTAGTGTAGTGTATAGTAGTGTAGTGTATAGTGTAGTGTATTGTAGTGTAGTGTATAGTAGTGTAGTGTATAGTGACTTTGTAGGATGAACTTTGAGGTTTATAACTGGCACGGGGTGACCAATGAGGTCTGAATTGGTCTGTGATAAGGTAGGGCACTGATAAGGGGTTGACAGGTATGGTATAGAAGTGTAGTGTATAGTAGTGTAGTGTATAGTAGTGTAGTCTATAGAAGTGTAGTGTATAGAAGTCTAGTATAGTGTATCGTAGTATAGTGTATAGTAGTGTAGCATATAGTAGTGTAGTGTATAGTAGTGTAGTGTATAGTGTAGTGTAATAGTGTAGTGTATAGTGTAGTGTATAGTAGTGTAGTGTAATAGTAGTGTAGTGTATGGTAGTGTAGTGTATAGTGTAGTGTATTGTAGTGTATAGTAGGTGTAGTGTATAGTAGTGTAGTGTATAGTGACTTTTGTAGGGAGAACGTTGAGATTTATAAGGGGCACGGGGGTGACCAATGAGGTCTGAATCGGTCTGTGATAAGGTAGGGAGGGGCACTGATCAGGGGGGTTTGACGGCTACTGACTATACGTGTGTGTGTGTGTGCGCGTGACGGGGGGTTGGGGGGTAGCAGCGGTGACACGTGTGGGAGACGAGCACTTGAAGCGTGGGTCCGGAGGTCGCACGCCAGCGTCTCCACCACTCCTCGTCGGGGTTCCCGCTCACCTCACGTGGTAGCTCACCACACGTGGTAGCTCACCACACGTGGTAGCTCACCACACGTGGTAGCTCACCACACGTGGTAGCTCACCACACGTGGTAGCTCACCTCACGTGGTAGCTCACCACACGTGGTAGCTCACCACACGTGGTAGCTCACCACACGTGGTAGCTCACCACGCGTGGTAGCTCACCACCACACGTGGTAAGCTCACCAGTGGTAGCTCACCTCACGTGGTAGCGCACCACCGTGGAAGCTCACCACACGTGGTAGCTCACCACGTGTGGTAGCTCACCACACGTGGTAGCTCACCACACGTGGTAGCTCACCACACGTGGTAGCTCACCACACGTGGTAGCTCACCACACGTGGTAGCTCACCACACGTGGTAGCTCACCACACGTGGTAGCTCACCACACGTGGTAGCTCACCACACGTGGTAGCTCACCACACGTGGTTGCGCACCTTGTTCTGGAAGAAAAAAGACACCGAGGGCGTTCGTTTGAGAGCGTGGAGCAGGAAGACTTATTCGCGATTCTGGCAAAGCGGCCGATGAAACTGGTTGTTATCCCTAATAGAGGTTTAGTTTGTTCGGGGCTAGATCACGTAGATATGAATGTTGCGTCTAGATCACGTAGATATGAATGTCACGTCTAGATCACGTAGATATGAATGTTGCGTCTAGATCACGTAGATATGAATGTTGTGTCTAGATCACGTAGATATGAATGTTGTGTCTAGATCACGTAGATATGAATGTTGTGTCTAGATCACGTAGATATGAATGTTATGTCTAGATCACGTAGATGTGAATGTTGCGTCTAGATCACGTAGATATGAAGTTGCGTCTAGATCACGTAGATATGATGTTTGTGCCTAGATCACGTAGATATGAATGTTGCGTCTAGATCACGTAGATGTGATGTTGCGTCTAGATCACGTAGATATGAATGTTGCGTCTAGATCACGTAGATGTGAATGTTGCGTCTAGATCACGTAGATGTGAAGTTTTGTCTAGATCACGTAGATATGAATGTTGCGTCTAGATCACGTAGATATGAATGTTGTGTCTAGATCACGTAGATATGAATGTTGCGTCTAGATCACGTAGATGTGAATGTTGCGTCTAGATCACGTAGATGTGAATGTTGCGTCTAGATCACGTAGATGTGAATGTTGTGTCTAGATCACGTAGATAT